TATACGCCACAATGGCAATACTTTACTCTTTCTCTAGATTTTGATATGTTTTGTGACTTCCACGACTTTTGTCTCGATAATGACCTTTATTAAATTTTTCTTTGCTCCTCCCACTGTTCTCTATGACAAGTGCTTGTGCATCATTTGAATCTATGGATTTTCTTTTGGTTTCTTCAGTCAATAGTGCACTGGTAACCATACTCATTGACAGTTTACCCTCTGGAGTAGAATTACTAACAAATACCACCAATGTCTCCCAAGAATCTGGTGAAGAGCTCATCAACAGTAAAGCTTGCAGCTCATCCACAAGTGTTAATGAGCTACAAGTTTACTAATAGTGATATCACCCTTATACTTCAAGTTTACAAGCTTTTTCATCAATAATGCTTTGTTCCCAGTTGTTTTCCTCTCATACAGAGTAGCCAACTTTTTCCAAAGTTCTTGCGCCGATGTCTTATTTGCAACATGATAAAAAACATTGATATTCAACCACTGTCTAATTGTGCCAACTGTTTTTCTGTTCAATTTATTCCACTCCATATCTGACATCTGAGCTGGTCGCTTAGCTTTACCCTCAACAGGTTCATACAAGTCTTTGCAGAATAAATAATCCTCCATCATAGGCTTCCAAATCAATCAATTTGATCCATGTAGCTTGAGCTACCTTCCATTTCAATTTACATTTCAAACACCTACAATTATAAACCAAAGCTCTTGATACCACTTTGTTGGGGGCCAAACAAAATAACCAAGTGTAAACTGAAGTAAACTTATAACACATAAAAATAACAACAATAATAATAATAGTAATAGTAGCAGCATAATAATTTGGCACACAAGAATTTCTACGTGAAAAACCCAATGTGGGAAGAAAAACCACGGGACCTTTGTCGGAGTCCACCCAAACTTCCACTATCACCAATCAATAATAATGGGTACAGATACAATATGTTATTTCTCTATATGACAATAGAGGAATCCAACAACATCATCAAATAGATGGAAATCAAGAGATAAAGCAAGGAGAAAAGGTCACTAAAGAAGCTTCAAAGGGGGAAACCAGATCTTTAGCTCTAAAGACCTCAAAGCCACAAAATGACAGGTGGATGTGAAGTACTAGACACCACGAACACTCCCTCGAAATCTGAGCTCGTTCTGACGAAGTGGCACCGTAAAAAAAATCTCATCTCCTTTTCTTTTTCTCTCTCCCGCGCGACGCTCTCCCTTTCTTTGACTCTCCATTTTTTTTCCTGCCTGCTGCGTTCTCTTTCCTTTTGCTTTCTTTTTTAAATTGAAACAAAAGATAAAGGTGGAAAACAAAGCAAATCGGCCATGGGCCCTACCACTAATAAAGGTCACGGACCTAATAGTACGCTCATATTCTCAATTTTTAACATGAGCTAAATTTGTTTGGATTGGAAAATTAACCAGAGTATCCATTGGAGTTTTTTTAATTGAAATGCTTAATATGTCAATGTTAAAATGTTTAGTTAGCACCAACAAAGCCCAACACAATTTGTAGATAGCTTAGTTCCTTAAACATGCTGACAGGAGTTCGATCTTTGGCTATGTGTATGGAAAAGACTTTGTTGAGAAATGTTTATCCATTTAATATGATCTTTTGCCTCGAAAGGATTAGACTTTGGCTGTTGGCTGTTGGATATCTTCGGAAACCAAAAAAAATATTTAGTTAGCTGAAGTTGATATTAAATCTAAAGTTTGTTTGCTCTCTGGAAGTTGAGTGAAATATAATTGAGTTTGCAAGGCTCACAAATGAGATTGCCTTCGTATGATTTATTGAATTTGAACTTTATTTGCATTGGATCATAATAATATGCATATACGTGTTTGTGAGTAATAAGTTTGAATGATGAGTCTGGTGTCAAGAAACATGAATTTACCTTTTGTTCGAGTCAACTAAACACAAATTGGATAAATAACTTTGATGTGAAAGCATCTTTTTTTTTTTTTTTTGGTATCCTATGTGAAAGCATCTTTATTACAAGACTATAGTGCAAAAATGGATCCCAGGTTGTAATTTTAATTAAGGTTATTCTAAGTTTCTTTTGAACTCTTTAGCTATTTTAAATATTGTTTAAGTTTCATTTTGTTTCACTTTTTTTTTCTAATCTGCAATTTCTGTCAAAATTCCAAAATGTTACAAACTTTTTGCTATAACTTCCATTTAAATGCTTTGCTTTATTTTTCTTTTAGAGCAGTTGCAAAATTCTCACAAACAATTAAGATCTTGAGAGAATGATATTATACTGGCACATAAACTTGTATAATAGTTAATAAGCCATCAGTGGTCACATTAAAATGAAAACACGAGATGATTTATTCGCAACCTAATTATTATTTTATTAAACATTTTATTTAAAAATAAAATATAGATTGAATATTTTGACTCTGATATAAGATTAAAAAATTTAATACCTCATCTCAATCGTTGATGTCCGTACATTTATCAGTTGCAATTTATTTAGAATTAATAATTAATTAATAAATATAACTCAATAAACTACAAACATCAAATGTACAGAAATCAATGATTGGGATGATGAGTAAAATTTCTTAATCGTATATCAAAGTCAAGTAATCTTTTCTCATATAAATAAAATTTAATTTATACAAATATTATAATCTAAAATGAGTTATTAGTATAGCGAAGATCATAATTATTATGTTTAAAAATTATTTATTAAATGCCGTGATAATAAATGATTTAGATAATAACAAAGAAAACCTTGGTCAAAATTAAACTTATATAACGATTAGAAGACGATATTTTTAAATGTATTATTGATTCTTTTGAATAAAGTTTCGTATTTTGAGGGAGAAACTGAAAACTGTTGAACGTTGACGCATTTGTTATTTTTTTATTTTATTTTATTTTATTTTATTTTTATTTTTTGTGTTTTCCCTCAAAATCAGGGCTGATTCGTCGTGGAACGCTGGCGCCCATTATACAATATTTTCTCAATGCAACGCAGTGGTCACGTGCGGTCTGAGGTATTTTCCCATCGTGTTTTTCCCTCCTTTCTCTGCCACAAAACAAAACCCATTTCACAAAGGACAGCGTGACAGAGACCTTCCTCAGCCATTACTCTATTAACTCAAATCTGAATCAAAGTTTCTCTCAACTTTTGCTAAATAGGTTCGTACACACACGCACAATCTTACACTTGCAGCCTTTCTCTCAGCCGTCTTTTCTATTTTTAATTAATACTCTTTTTTTATTTTTATTATTATTATTATTATACACAAAAATGTGCTCTTATCCTGGTTATGTTGAATGAAACATTAATGCCTCACAGTCAAGTGCAAAGAAACTAACTATTATTATTAGAAAAAAATTATTCTGATGTCATATAAGATCAAAATTTTTTCTTATATATCTTTTGATAATTGTGTTTTTTTTTTCTTCTTTTTTTCTTTTTTAGGTGGTTGTGTCCTTTTTTTTTTTTTTCTTTTTTTAAGTGGTGAAGCCTATAATTTTATCTTTATAACTGTTATTTATTTTTTTTAACAAGATATTAATAAAACCCGTACTATTGTTTTTACTCATTATCCTAAGATGCTGTCATAACCGTTAATTTATTCTACATGGACGGTGAAACCGTGAAAGGTTATCTTTATGTGATGAACTTATGTGACGTAAGAGGATGAAATACTCTTTCACTTGTCACCAGCACTCCCTCATTTTCTTTATTTCCTCTCCTGACTGTAATAACAACTCTCTTTCTACCTTTATTTTTACCCTTTTAACTCACTTTTTTCCGTTGAAGTTGAAACCTTTATTACAATAAAAAAAGAGTTACTAATCTCATGTTGTTTGAGATAGTTCTCTCATGTGTATGAGATAAAAATGTGAGATCCACACTTTAAAATAAATAAAAAAAGTTGGCACAAAATTCGATGAGCGTATAAAATGAGATAGTTATCTTCAATGAAATGAAAAAAATATTTCCCTAAAAAAACTCTAATAAACTATCATGCAATGCTATAGGAGATAATCATCTCCAGCTATAGACACAACTTGGAGGAATATTACCAAAATATTATTTTTTGACAATTTTTTATCCAAATTCCAGCGAACTACTTATTACTAGAATGTCACGTGATGTAATTCATTATGATCGGTGGCAAATTACGTTTGCCAATGATTGTGTGACATGTGACACATTTTCGCAAAAGAAAACTGACTAGACCAAGCTTGCTATTAATGGTAGTGAATTTAGTACGCAATGTGGTCACGTGTCACGAAATTATAAGCGACGAAGTTCGCTACCTATCATAACGAATTACGTCGTGTGACAATCCTGTAAAAAATACTATTCACATGACATTTAGATAAAAAATTTATCAAGAAGTTACACTTTGATCACTATTCCCAACTTGTATGAGTTCTACACTAAAAATTAAAAAAGATGAAAAAATATAAAGGCTCAAATTTGAACGGAATATCCATGATGCAACGCTTTCCCATGTAAAATGAAAAAAAAAAAAACATTGCCATTAAATAAAAGGAAAATAATTATCTCATGCAACAAAAACAAAGTAGTGAGTTCCACATTATTTTTTTTGTTTTTGTTTATAAATGGTGGACCTCATTATCTTGTCTATGTTGCATGAGATAATTATCTCATCCAACATGAGATTAATAGATCCCTAAATAAAACCAGTCCTCGCGTTTTTGTTCTTTTCTCTGTTTTTTTTTTTTTTTTTTCTGGGTGGTCTGAATTATGCCTTGTCAGAGAGGCTATTTACTGCCTCTGCCACAGTGATTTCATGTGGTATTGCCTCATCTCTCTCTCTCTCTCCTTTGTCACATTACCATTACAGTTACTTGACCCCTCCTTTGTTACTTCTGCATCAACAATGACTACTGGTATTACTGCCTGTTAGTACTCTCATTTATTTTCTCAGTCTATTATTTCTTCTTCTGGCTTCTGTCTTTGTGAGTGTTCATTTGCTTAGTTCCTTTGAGAGTAGTAGTCATGGCCACTCCCACAAGGGGCCCTTCCCTGACACTGCATTCTCCAAAGACACCACCGGGGTTCCCAGATTTGTATGGGAAACGCCGTGACATGGCCAGAGTTCACATGCTTGAAAGAGAGATAAGTTTTCTTGAGGTGGGTTTCATCTTCTTATATGTTCTCTCATTTCTTGTTTAAATTTTGATACTTTTCACATACCATTATTATATTCTAGTGTAAATTCAATTCACTGGTTGTGTAACTAAAAACTGAAACTTTATTATTACTCATAACTTTCTTCTATATGGAGGGAGTGTTAGATGTTATGTTAAGACTATTAATGTTTGCCAATTCTTCTTCACTGTGATTATGATCAAGACTTAACTTTTGAGTTTGAAACAGAGTGATGACTGTAGTGTTCATTGTTGAAATTGGATTTTAACTTATAATTGTGTGAATCCAAGGTATTCTTCAACTTATAATTGATTTTTCTTCCAGTGACCTTCTGGCCTGGGTTCTCAGGATTGTTACAGTTCCATCAATATTCAATAATTTAAACAATTACTCTAGCAGTGCAAGGTGGTGGCCAACCACTAGCATTTATTATGACTAGATAGTAAAATGATAAAACGTTACGGAATCTTTGAATTGTGCTTCTTGGATGCTGATTACGGGACTCACTGTCCTGTTAGAAAATTATAAAGACTAGCCAGTTTGTCATAGCTAGTTTTCTGCTTTTAATTGCTAAGGTTTTAAATATTAAATGTTTGTTATTTGAAATGATATATTTTATATTATTTTAAAGGAACTATCTTGTTTTGGTATATATTTATAGGGTTTAATTTTTTCATGTTGCATGAAAATTCAATTCTTATGTTGTAGCTCAACTAGTGGTGGGTCCCACATTTATTAAAAAAAAAAAAAAAAAAGCTTTGCACGCAAATCGAAGGGTCACAACATGAGAATTGAATTCTCATGCAACATGAGAAAATGTTTTCCCTATATTTATTTATCTTTTACTTTCTCTTTTTCATAAAATTAAAATTAAGAAGAGAGAGAAAACAAAAAACATTGAAGAAAAGAGAATATTAAAAATCAAGAAATATAAAATGATATAAAATTTTATATTTTAGAATGACAAATGTTTTCTCTGTTACATAGTTATGGAATGGCATAAAATTTAGGTTATATTAGAAAATTAAGTAAATAATGAAGAATGCTTTACATGGCAGCGTGGTACTACTGTCTAATTTGTCATTTTGCATTAACTTTGTCCGTAGACACATTTCAACCTAGTTAAATACCCTTTATTTACCAAAAATAAAATAAAAAATACCCTCTATCTCTGGCCCCTTCTGGTGTTAAATAAAATTTACTGACAAATTTGCATCTAACAGGAAGAGTTAAAATCTTCTGAAGGCCTTCAACCAGCTTCAAGATGCTGCAAAGAGTATGTCTATTTATGGAATTGCTTGTATACCATTTAGATTATGAAACTAGAGAAATTCCGCAAAATATTTTAATTATAGCTAGCTAAATTCACTTTGTTGATCGTATGCAACATTAATATTACAGGATTGCTGATTTTGTGATGGCAAACTCAGATCCTGTGTTACCTACGTAAGAAATGTTCATGTCAAACTTCCTTTGTTAGTTTAACAGAGAACATGATTCTTATGCCTTTCTCTTTCAAGCAGGAGCAAAAAGAACCGCCGGTCATGTAGCTTCTGGAAGTGGCTGTGGTACCATTTTTTATTTTTTATTTTTTTGAAATAAATATGTTACATGATTTATATATACCAACCATTTGTTGAGTGTTGATTTAACAATTGTCATGGTTTTAACAATGGGGAGTTCTAATGAATGTGCAGCATGTACCTATAATTCATATATTAAAATTTGGTTGCCACGTACATAGATTAAACGGGTTTTATATAATAAAATGATAAAATGGCATAGATAATTACTCATGATTCTCAATAAAAATTATGTAGAATTTTGCATATTTTATATCTGATGTAATTTTAGTAATCTGTTGTTTCCCATTCTTGAGATTTTTTAATATCTGTGTCATGCTTTTACAAACAGTTAGCCAGAAGGAGGACTCGTTCTCTGAAGAGTTCTCTGGTTTAGCTTTGATGAGTGACACACTGAACTATGCCTAACTTTAAAGATTATGGCATGTTTTCAAGTCCCTCTGATATTTTGCCTCATACAAGCATATGGTACTGAATCTAATATACATTGTATATCTGAGATACACTCCTTATATGTCTGAGTTAAACCAGATAATGATTCACAAGCTGGTTTAGCTTCATTTCTTGGAACAGCAACTTCTAACTAACAGAATAAGCCTTATCCCATAACTAGATTGGAATAAAGCAAGTGACTTTTTTGTGCAGTGGAATGCCCTGCTTTAACTTGTCATGGATCTTCTGTTGGTGCTGTGATGGGTGCTCTGAACATCTAAAATGGCCAAGCTGCTGTTGCCACTGCAAGCCATGCTGCAATTGGATTAGTAGTTGTCTTCCATCTATCAATTGCTCCTTACCCAAGTGGGGTTGTTGCTCAGGTCAAAAATCACATTGCTGTAAAGATAAATGTGGTTGCAAAAATTGTTGTATTGTCCCAAGTTGCAATTTTGGGTGGCCTTTTCCCTCTTGCTGCTTGTGCAAATGCTCTTGCTCTTGTTCTTGCCCAAGCTGTCCAAAAATTCGCCCATGTTGCTGCTGTACAAAGTCCTGTTGGAAACCTTGCTGTTCATGTTGCTAGTATAGTAAAAAAAAAAAATAGTATAAAGCTATTGTCTTCAAAAATTGCATTTATAATAGCAAGAGTATAAATTTGGAAAAATATAAAGGTTTATGACTTATGAGTGTTCTGTTAAAATTTTCACCATGTGGATACAAGAAGCAAATGTAATATGTCCATTACAAATTGTGGGTCAGATAAGTTTTGATCATTCATTAGCTGTCACAATCTCCAGTATTACATGTGAAATGGAAGACTCGAGTGGGAATTTACAGCTTATTCATTTGTTCCAAGCGTCTTTCAGCGTAGAGGGCAGTAATGAATATACCTTGATTGTTAAAGTCAATTCTTATCTGGTAAATATTTTGCAGCGTAACTTTAGAAACTAGTGTTAACTTCTTTGTATGCATAAAACTTTTAATACTATTGCTACTAAACTAATCACGGTTGATTTCAGTCAATTTAATGATTATAATTTTTGAAAATTAATAAATTAATAAGTGAGATTCAAAAAAATATAACCGTTGAAGAGAATTAAGAATAATTAATTTAGTAATAAGAGTAGTAAAAATTTTCCGTAGTAAGTATAAGTGTATAACCGGTTCTGATTTATTTTAGTTTAAAATGGAGTAATTTATTTGAGTAAATATCACTTTCGGTCCTCAGCAAATTTCTTGATGCCCGCTTTAGTCCCTAGCAAATAAAAAGGCTATTTGTGGTCCCTAAGAAATTCAAAGTGGACCCATATTTATCCTTTTGAGGGATTAATGTGGGTCTTTTTTGAATTTGTGATGGATCACGATTTCAACTAAATTGTTCCATTTTGAATTTGTCAGGGACCACAAATAGTCTTTTTATTTGCTAGGGACTAAAGCGGGAATCGTGAAATTTGTTGAGGACCAAAAAGGGTATTTACTCAACTTATTTTTGTTGTTGGGTTGCATCCTAACTAATAGCTATAGCATTTACCCTAGTGGTAAGTTTTTGATCCAACATTTAGTATCTTTTGTTTTAATAGTAAGCCCTTCATCTAAGACTAGTAAAATTTTAATTGGAGTAATTATCTTTATTAATTTCGATTGATGATGAAAACTTTATAATTAACTCTTAAATTATAAAAAGAAAAAAACTTGCTTATTAAAGTTTTAAAAAGAATTCAAGATGGAATGATATTTTAAAATTTTGAGAAGAAAAAGATATTTACACATGACTTCGGCAACAAAGTAAGTGGTGCTTAGGGGTGGTAAACGAATCAGGGATATTTGACCCGACTCGTAAAGACTTGAGTTTATGTCTAAAATTGGTTGTTGGAACCAGTCTTGGCTTTATATAAAAGCTCGTTTAATAAAAGCATATCAGGCTTCAATTCAAAAGTCTGACCTTAGAGCCTCTAATATACTAACTTTATTTTTATTTTAATTTTTTATACTACTTGTAATAGCTTTTTCTCTCTCTTTCCTCAAATCATTTCACCTTATTTTATTGGTCAAACAGACTTTTTGAATGATTTTTTTCTATATTATGTTGTTTGGATATACATTGAATTTATGAATTTTTGTGGAATTATTAGTGTTGTTGATTGTATAATTTGTTTGGATAAATTTTTGTTGTCTTATTTTATTTTTAACAGATTAACAGGTCAAACCAGACTTTTATTTTTATACATAAATTAGGCCACATGCCGATAATTATATTCATAATAGTTAACAAGTTAGGCTAGACTGACGCATTTGAATACAGACTTAGTCTTTTAAAATCAAAATTCGGCCTGACTCTGCTCGTTAACACCTCTAATGGTGGTTATAATTACTGGCTTATCACTCTTTTACTTATTTGGTTATTATTAGGTTAATTTAAAACCAACTATTGAAAAAAAAATTAACTATCATTAATTGTAAATTAATTTAAAAATAATCAAACATATAATAAGAGCAATAAATTTAAAATAATAATAAAAATAATTTTTCTCAATAAAAAGAATCGCAAAAAATAAATTAATGGCCCAAAATTTATTGGGCTTTTTGTCTCGTTCATTGATTTGAACTTTGAAGTGAGGGAGAATATTTTTTTTCTTTCTCATTTTAATCCCTGCAATATTGTGATCGGTGAAAATCGAATGGCAGCGAAATATGTGATTGCTATGAACAACCTTTTCTGCATAACTGACACACAACACATGAAATGTCTTTTCCCTTCATCACATATATTTGCTCAGGGGCTGAAGAATCTGGGGACTGCAACCATTTTGACACGTTTTGACAAAAAAATTACCAGAATGTCACGTGAACAGTAAAAATTTTCAAATTGCTACGCGGTATAATAAGCTACACAGTGTAGCGAAATATGTCACGTCAGAACCAAAAAGTGCCATGTGTCAAAATTGTTGAAATTCGCTACCTTATGTAGCGAATTTCAACATTCTTACACATGACACTTTTTGGTTCTATTCATTTTGACGTGGCATATTTCGCTATACTGTGTAGCAAATTACTTGCATGCATAATTTGCTACAATGTGTAGCGAATTATGCCGCGTGACAATTTGGAAAATTTTACTGTTCGCGTGACATTCTGATAATTTTTTTGCCAAAGCGTAACATTTTAGTCACTATCTCAAGAATCTGTTGGATGTGGAAATAGACACTTCGATGTAATTAGGCATTTGAATTCCAAAGGAATTGTTACCTCTGAAAGGACACAAGTTGTACTATTGTAGAAGAACTAGATAACACCTTTACTCTCCGAATAAATAGCAGTCATGTGCATCCGAGAGACTGAAAAAGTAAACAATTAGACACCCTGTAGATATCCGAGGAGTGTTTCCATATTTGTGAACTTGATCATCTGAGTTAAGAGGTGATTTGGGCCATTAAAAAATTCGAGTTACAAATTATAAATTGAGTAAATATCTTTTTTGGTTCTCAGCAAATTTGACGATGCCTGCTTTAGTTTCTAGTAAATAAAAAGACTATTTGTAGTCCTTAAAAAATTCAAAATGGATCCATTTTAATCCTTTTAAGGAACTAATGTAGGTCTTTTTTAAATTTGCGAGGGACCACAATTTCAATTAAATGGATCTATTTTGAATTTTTTTAGGGACCACGAATAGCTTTTTTATTTGATAGGGACTAAAGCGGGTATCGTGAAATTTATCGAGGATCAAAAAGGATATTTACTCTTATAAATTTATACGTGTTAATTTATTTATATTTAATTCAGACGAAAGTGAAATTAACCACTAAGACACACACACAACTCACATTTATTAATTCTAATTCATTGGAGATTAGAATTAACTTGAACCAAACTACACATACTCTTACATTATTAATAATTCATTTTACTTACATCCATCAATTGTTAGATACAAGTAAAACTAATGATCAATTCATGTAATAATTTTTATTCTTGCACCAATATAAGTACATCTCTCCGTATGTATATAATATTTAAGAAGTTATTCAAGTGCAAATTTCGACAGTTGAAGTTGGAAGTGCAATAAAGTAGTAAGGTACAATTGTTGAATGAGTTTGGAGGATCAAGTTTGTGGAATCAAACGAGTCCTTTTCTTAAGGGGATACTTGGTGTAGCCAACCCGTTTATGTACCATCAACACGTCCTTGTTTTGTAACATTACTTTTACTGGGTACACATTACTAAACAAAAGAAAAAGAGCATCCCCTCATTCCCTCTTTTCAATCTCAACTTGTTTTTTTTTTAGAATTCCCCACCAAAAAGAAAAAGAAAAAAACACAACCTTCTAAATCGTCCATCCAACTAATAATGTTATGCTGTTGATGGCAACAAAGCCTCAAAAGCAGCTCCTTTCTTTTCGTCACTCTAGGCAAAGGCTTGTTTGGGCTTGAAATAGTGATAACAACTAAACCCACAAACTCACAACTCTGTCCAAGCAAAAGCAACTGGGCTCCTAACTTGGTGCTGTGCATTGCTCCACATAATGCTCCCAAATCCAGACCTAACCGAAGCATCAGCACCCTTCTTGGACACAAAGGTCGCAGTGTACCTTCGTTTTTCCCCTACTTTTCCAAACACAAGCCTGGTGGGATTCACCGTTATCCCCACCGTTGATGGCCCGTCAACGGCCACATGATAGACAGATCCAGCATCACCAACGTTTGTCAGGGTGCGCGTGTATCTCACAACCCTTTTGCCTCCAAACAAGACCGAGAATGATGGGTAATTCAATTGGCCAGGATCAGAATATTTCATGGTACAATTGACACCAGGTTGCTTAACAACAAGTTGTATGTGCTCAGGTGTGTAGTCCAAGGAGCACAAGAACGCAATGTAATCACTGGCTGAAGCATCATAGACAAGGCCCGGAGAGAATGCTTTCTGTGGGTTAACATGGCCCGCACCGTGAGCCCATGGAGTTGAAAAGGCTTCTCCTGATGCATCATGGAGTGGTGACTTGGTGTTGTCATGGGTATATGCTGTTGTCATGAGTGCAGATTTTATTGCGCTTGGGCTCCAATCTGGATGAGCTGCTTTCAACAATGCACCCAACCCACTTATATGTGGACAAGACATCGACGTACCTACATACAAAAAACATTACTCGTTACAATTTACAAACAAACAAGTAACTAACAACTGCCGAGAGAGAGAGAGAGTACCTGACATAATGTTGAATTGTGTTTTACGAGTGTCCTGAGATAACCCAGAAGGCCCAATAGATTCTGACCATCCGGCTAAGATGTTAACACCAGGCCCAATAACATCCGGTTTTAGTATCTGCCTAGTCACCGTATTGGGCCCTCTCGAACTGAACGCTGCCACCACAGGGGATGGTCTAACGTTCAAAACGGTCCCACCGAAACTCAGCATTGCCGTTGGATTACGATCTGAACCCGCATACTCCCTGATCTGATCACCCACGATTCTCCCAACCGCTACAGCCGGTAGCAAGTGACTATCCGCCACCAACTCCTCGCCGTTCGCCGCCGTGTTCGCCAGTATCATCCCAACCCCACCTGCATCCAACACGACCTTACCTTTCTCCACGCGCGCATTAAGCCCCCTGTCGCAAATAACTATCTTCCCACGAACCACGGCCGGGTCAAGCGAACCGGGAATACAAATGCTAGCCGATTGGTTCGAGTTCGAGTTCGAGTTCGAGTTCGAGCTCGACCCTTTGTTATAAACCAAACCCACCGGTTCACTCCCCATTCCCTTCCCACTGTAAAGCGAAACCCCAGCGAACCGTTTCTTGTTTCCTAACAATGCGAAAGCCGGGAAATCCCGGTCCAGGGTCCCAGCCCCAACGGTCATAATCCACGGCGCTACATTCGCAAGTGACGCCTTACTAGGCCCGCTATTCCCGGCGGAGCAGGAAACAAAGATCCCTCGCTCCACCGCCGCGAATGCTCCGATTGCGATGGTGTCGCGGAAATAAGGGGCGGAGCCGCCGCCGAGGGAGAGGGATAACACGTCGACGCCGTCCTGGATCGCGCGGTCCATCCCGGCGAGAATGTCGGAGGCGAAGCAACCGTCGGACCAGCAAACCTTGTAACCAGCGACACGCGCCTGCGGCGCCATGCCTCTGGCGGTTCCGCTGGCGTAGCCGAGGAGGCTAGCATTTGCCACGTGGGACCCAGCGGCGGTGCTCGCGGTGTGGGTCCCGTGACCGTCCCTATCGCGAGGTGACATAGGCTCTTTCTCGGCGCCGCTCCCCGCCGCCATGTGGAACCCCCTGGAGAAGCTTCGTGCGCCGATGAGCTTTTTGTTGCAGAGAGAAGGTGAAAAATCAGGGCCCTTCTCACACTCGCCGCGCCACCGCGCTGGTATCTCCGGCATTCCGGCGTCGACGAAGCTCTGAGATTCGGGCCATATTCCGGTGTCTAACACCCCTATGATAACATCGTGGGACGCTTGGTCCAGTTCCTGTGTACGATGGCCTTCCCATAACCCTGTTTGGATTTCGAGACCCAGAAACTGTGGTGTGCGTGTGGTGTGAAGTTGGTACACTGTGTCCTCGTAGAGGCCAAGAACCGCATCAGATCTTAACAGTTCCTGGGCTTGGTGAGTGTCAAGGGATGCGGCGAAACCGCTGTATGCGTCGGTGTAGGAATATAAGAGGGGATCGGAATCTGTGGAAGTGAAAGTTGACAGTGATTGAAGACTGGCTGAGTACCAGTCATGGTGGGTGGTGTACATGGAAGGCTTTTCATGGTGCTTCATGTGAACTATGTATGTCTTCTTGGTTGCAGCATTGGATATTGATGATGATGACGATGATAGGAAGAGAAGGAAGCAGAAGAAGAAGAAGAAGAAGAAGAAGGTGGGAATGGAAGAACCCATTTCATGTGGGTTCGTTCAGAGAAGAGAAATGAGTGAAGGAACAAAGTGTGTCGTCGTTTGTATTTAATGGTTATATTAAGATAATGAGAAAATGGGGGAAAAGAAAAAAGAAGGGAATAAAAACTGGGGTTGGGTGTAGCAATGGGAGTGTCAGAAAAAAATGGGAGACTCTTGTCGGTTTTTATAACAAGGTTGGAGTTGAGGTGTCTCTTTATTTTCTTTATTTATTCCGATTCTTCCATGTGGTCGTCCGTGCCGTTACCTGTTTTTGACTCCATTAGACGTATAAAATCCCTATTCTATCCCTATTCAAAATCCCAGTCTTCACTGCATGTTAATGTTTAGGAGGTAAAATTATTTTGTTTTATACATATAGGTTCGTTTTTTCTGCACTTACTCCAGATAACTTATCTGCAGTAAGTTCAATACGACATCGTTTTGGGGCGAAAATTATGGTATTTTTGTAATTTTAATTTATTTCAGGGTTATAATAGTCTTTATATTTATAATTTTTTAAGATTTCAATACTAAAACGACGTCGTTTTGGAAATAAATGCAGATAACTTATCTGCATTAAATGCAGAAATATTTTTCCATATATATATATATATATATATATATATATATATATATATATATATATATATATAAATAGGATATTCTACTTATCAGTTTTTCTGTCTACCTTTGCCTACGACTTTAAAATACCATTAGATCAGAATCTTAACTAATATTTATCTTTCTCTCTCTTCGTAAGATTCTGATCTAGCGGTGTTAGAGAGTGATAGCCAACGGTAAACAGAAAAAATGGTAGGTAGAATATCATATTCCATATATATATATATATATATATATATATATATATATATATATATAGGGAAAGATTATACTTAGTACCTATTTTTCTTAGTACTTGTTACTACCAAATCTTAACTGTTGATTTTCGTCAATCTAACGATTGTAATTTATGGGATCATATTTATTAATTAATTATTAATTTACAATAAATTATAACCGTTAGATTGACAGAAATCAACGGTTAAAATTTAGTAGTAAGAGGTAGTAAGTATAACTTTTTCCATATATATATATATAAAATAATTTTATTTCTTATAAAATAAGAAATATTAAACTCTCACTTTATACGAGAAAACCATTTGTGACACTTTAAATAAAATGGCGTTATTTGATATATAATCAATAAATTTTTTTATTTTTTTTTTTGGTGTGGCTAAGGGTGCGAAGCACCCAGCTAATCAATAATTTTTTTATTTTGTCTCTTTGACTTCAAAATTTATGATTGATATTACATATTTCAGTCTTAAAATTGTGTTTACTAAGTTGCCAGTTTTGCGCATGGAATTGGATTTGCAATAGCCAATAAGCCTTCAAAATATAATTAGATATTTTAATTTTAATTATTTTATTTAGTGTATATTTTAAAATTAAAATGAAGAAGTAATTAATTTATATTATATATAATTATTGATTCAGATCTTAAAACTAAATTTTTAATTTGAATTCGCTTTTTCTACGTCCATGTAAATAACTTATCTACGTTGAGTCTAAAATGAAGTCGTTTTGAAGCGGAAATCAATGTATTATAATTTATTTCAGGGATATAATAGTCTTTTTATTGTAATTTTTTAACTCAAAACGACGTCGTTTTGGGAGCGAATGTAGATAACTTATGTATATTCGCTTTAGAAACATTAAAGCCTTTAAATATTTAAGACAAGAGTTAAATAAATATTTTAAATTTTATTTATTATATTTGTCATTTGCACATTATAAAAATCATTGTCTGGCATCTTCTAAGTACCATCGTTGCAATCCAATCAATTCAATGAATATTAAGAACGCTGGGTTAAAAAAAATTAAAATCATACTGCAATACTAAAAAAAAAAAAAATCAATTAGATTGAATTGATTTTTAATTCTAATTTTAAGGGCTAATACAATCCAACTAAAAATAAGTGAAATGGACATTAAATTTAAAAATGTCCCGTAAGATCAACAATTAATATATGCAGTTTATTATTAAAAAAATTAGTTTATGTTTTAACATGGTGAATTGAGAATTTTAAGATTTTTTCGACTATTAATTTAGTAGTTAAATTAGTATATTTTAAATTAAAATTGTTAGGTTAGGTTAAGTTAAAAGGAGGGCCTGAGTTATTACCAAAAAAAAAAAAAAGAGGGCCTGTGTTCATATTCTGTTACAACAATTAGCTTATAGAGGATTTCTTTTAAGCGTAACTCAATTAAAAAAATTAATCTTCTAATCTAATTAACCTTTATTCATAAAAAAGAATTGAATATTTGATAATTGTATATTTTGAAAGTTTGGTTTTGGCAAAGGTTTTTTCTTTTCTTCCGGAAGCTATTTTTAAAAATATTTTTCATTACAAACGAATATTTGAATCTTAACATTCAATAAAAATTGAAGTCTTAAAAAAAAGTAAAAATCTAATTTTTTTTAAGCTAATTGTTTTATTCACTAGAAATTAAAAGTCCAAAGTCAAATTTGTTCTATCCTAAAAGGATCGAGATGTCTATTTTATTTTTTTTGGTGAGGTGATCGAGATGTCTATTACTGAAAAAGAATTTGGATAATCTCAGAATATATGGAGTTGATATATATATATATATATATATATATATATATATATATATATATATATATATATATGAAAAAATATTTCTCCGGCAACTTGACACACAAATAATGTTACGCACAATGTTACGACCACATCTTAACCGTTGATTTTCGCCAATCAACGGTTATCATTTATTGCGAATTAATAATAAAGGGTTTTATAAGAGTTATGTTGTAGGAAAAGTGATTGTGTAATGTTATAGAGATTCGTTTTGCGTGCCTTAATTTTTTATTTATTTTTTTGTTTTAAAAAGTGTGGGCCCCACAAAATGTTGTGAGTGTAGGAAAGTTTGTTGTGTTATGTTAAAGGATAAAACGAAAACCCAATAATAAATTAATGAGTTTGATTTGAAAAATGATAACCGTTGATTGACGAAAATCAACGGTTAAGATGTGGTCGTAACATTGTGCGTAACATTATTTGTGTGTCACAATATCCTATCTCATTATATATATATATATATATATATATATATATATATATATATATATATATATATATATATGGCAAAATGATTTGTAATGTGTGAGTGCATATAAGCATTAGTGCAGTCACCTAAAAACTATGTTGTTTTGGTTAGGATAAAGGAAGTTCGCGTTCAAAATTAATTATAGCAAATAAAATAATATATTTATTTTCACCTTTGTATGGTTATGATTCCCCATATTTAATGTTTTCATATTATAAAATGACGTAATTTTATATGACTGCACAAATCCTTAGGTGAAGTCATTGTACATCCGCTAAACCATATATATATATATATATATATATATATATATATATATATATATATATATATATATATATATATATATATATATATATATATATATATATATATATATATATATATATATATATATATATATATATATACGGGGTTTACATTTCTGCAGTTGTTGTACGTGCAACAATCAAATACTTGCCATATATATACTTGAAAGCATTAAATGCGGGGAATCATAATCATACAAAGGATGAAAACATTAAATGTGAGGAATCATAACCATACACTTGTTGTTGTTGTACATAAAGCGGCTGCAGAAATGATTTTACCTATACATACATATATATATATATATATATATATATATATGGGTTTAGCGGATATAAAGTGACTGCACCTAAGGATTGATCCAGTCATATAAAACTACGTCGTTTTATAATGTGAAAGCATTAAATATGAGGAATAATAATCATACAAATATGGAAATAAATATAAAATATTAAATATGGGGAATCATAACCATACAAAGGTGGAAATAAATATAATATTTCTATTTACTATAATTAATTTTAAACGCGAACTTCCTTTATCCCACCCAAAACGACGTACTTTTTACGTGACTGCACCAATGCTCATATGCAGTCACATTACAAATCATTTTGCCTATATATATACATATGTATATATATAGATAGATATATAGCTGATACAAATGAGAAGAAAGCTAAACTAAGCTAAACAAACTGACAACAGAAAATAAATAAGATAACAAACTAGCTAACAAATTCCATCAGCTACTAACTTATATTTACAACTGAACCACCAACAAAAAGAAACCCTACTAATAACGTGGTAGTGGTGATACCCCATCAAGTTGGAAGGCGAATATCCATGAGCCCTAACTTGGATAAAATGGACTGAAATGGTGCTGGATGTAAAGCTTTGGTGAACACATCAGGCAACTGTATAGTGGTGGAAATGGGAAGAAGATGAATCAACCCAGCTTGGATCTTCTCTCGTATTATATGACAATCCAATTCGGTATGTTTACTTTGCTAATGAAAACTGGGATTATGAGCTAAGTAGATAGCTAATCGAGAATCACAATAAACCGAGGCTGGTGTAGAGAAGGGAACACGAAGATCTGCCAAAAGATATCAAACCCATTGAATTTCACATGTACAGTGCACGGTATTCTGCCTTTATGGAAGATTGAGAAATAGTTGTTTGTTACTTTGACCTCAATGAAATAAGAGCAGAACCTAGAAATAAGCATAAACCATAAACTAATTTCCTTGTGTCCAAACAACATCCCCAATCAGCAATAGCAAACCCGTAGAGAGTGAGCTTTTGTTGTTGGGAAAGAATAAACATTTGCTTGGTGAGCCTTTGATATAACGGAGAACCCTAGTTGCTTCTTGTATATTATCCGCCATAGGGTTCGAAACATATTGGCTGAGTTGCTGAATAGCAAATGACAAGTCTGGACGTGTGGTAGTGAGATAAAGTAAACGTCCCAGTAAACTGTGATAGGCAGAAGGATCTGAGTAAGGAGACCCTTGTTCTCATTGAAGTCTTTTCAAAGGATCCATGGGTGTGGAGCTGGGTGT